GCGCTGAGGTCCCCTCTGGTTATTCCTAAACCTTGTAAATGTCTAGCAGTTTGAGTCTCTTTTCCAACGAGATCCTCTAGATTTTTGTAACTCTGGAAGATTTTTATTCAACCAACTCAAGTCTGTTTCCTCTCAATAGATAGCTATGGTTTTCCCACTGTGAGCCAGATTGTGCCAGAAGCTCTGCACCAAATAAGAGTGACAAAGTGTGGCCTCCAGGGTGCTCACAGACCCCATCGGGAGGGGTTTAGGTGCACGGGCATGCCCTGGGATGTTCTAGAAGGATCCACCAGGAGGATGTATGTTTTGCCAGTAATCTTATCCCTTTCAGGATGTTATAACAAACCACCACAGACTGAGTAGCTTATAAGCAACAGAAATTTATTTTTCATGGTTCTGGAGCTGGGAAGTCCAAGATCAAGGCACCAGAGTGGTCGGGTGAGGGTCCTCTTCCAAGGTCATAGCTGGCACCTTCTCTCTGTGTCCTGACATGACACAAGGGATTTGGGGGTGGTTCTGTGGAGCCTCTTTTATAAGACACCAGTCCCACTGATAAGGGCTCCACCCCCACGACTTACGCACCTCCCAAAGGCTCCACCTCCAAATACCATCACATCAGATTTTAAGACATGAAGTCGGGGTCGGGCGAGGGGGACACGCACAGACATGCAGAGCATTCACCAAATGAAGAAGCAAATTCATTTCAAGAGGGATGGGACAGGGTTTGCCAAGACACAGCACGTGAAGGCACACAAACAACTGGGTGATGGTAGGTGCCGTGTGGGTCGGGCCTGAGGTGGAACAGGTCACAGAGGCCCCGGGAAACCTCCAAGCTAAGGGCTGTGTGGAAGAGAGAGCCAACCCTCGGCTCCAATGAATTGTCATCCTGCAAGAATCAGGCCCAGCCTGAGCTCATCTCTGATCTTTCAAAAGATGCCGGCAATTCGGATTTTGAACAAATTTTCTGATTTTTTTTTTTTTTTTGCAGAATAGGAAATATTTTCTTTTACTAGCAACGGGTAAAAATAACTTCCTGATGTTTAATCGTTGGTAATCAAATAAAATAAAAAAGAGCCAACTGTAGAGGCCAACTGTTCAGGCCAACTGTAGAGGGTGCTACGTTACCCACCCAGAGTCCCTCACCCCTCAGCTACTCTTAGGGCTGGCCAGTGCCCCCCTTCCCCGCCTGCATTTCTTCCTGTATCAGAAGTGTTTCCAGAACAGCATCCAAACCTGGCCCTGGGCACTGCGCCTGTTGAACGTGACCTGTCAGCTGAGACATCAAGCATACCAGTCTGCAGACCAGAGGTGATCCTGAGGCCACCCGTTTAAGACCTTTGAGCTAGAGTTGGGGAAGAGTGGGGTGCTAGGAGGGAGCCGCTGGGGAGGGGAGGTGCCGAGCCATGGGGCCAAAAGGGGAGAGAGGGCCTTGTTGGGGTTAGCCCGTTGTCCCTGCAGAGGAGTTCCTTCCCTGGGCACAATCGAGCCACTGTAGGATTATTTATCTACCTATCTCTCTGTCTATCTATCTATCTATCTATCTATTTAACCAAGAAGGTGATAATCAAATTAGGCTTTAGAAAGATTATGTGGGCTGCAGTGGAAGACGAAGTATAGAAGACCCACAATGTGGGGGGGAGTGGGGGGGCGCCTGGGTGGCTCAGTCGGTTAGGCGTCCAACTTCAGCTCAGGTCATGATCTCCCAGTCCGTGGGTTCGAGCCCCGCATCGGGCTCTGTGCTGGCAACTCAGAGCCTGGAGCCTGCTTCGGATTCCGTGTCTCCCTCTCTCTGTCTCTCTCTCTGTGCCCCTCCCCAACTCGCACTTTGTCTCTCTCTGTCTCTCAAAAATGAATAAATGTTTAAAAAAATTAACAAACAAGAAGATCCACAGGGGGGCATCTCTGGCTTGGGTGATTGGAATAACCTCTTAGTGGGTCTTCCTGAGTCCGCCCTCGCCCTGCTTCAGCCCATCCCTAAATTAGCAGCCAGAGAGACCCTGGTCAATGGAAGTCAGGTCTTGTGCCACAGTTTCTCACACCGGTGCCCTGCTATAGCCTAGTCCCTACGGGCCTCTCTTCCCTTTGCTCCAGGCAGGCTCCCTCCTCAGGTGCTGCACTCGCTCTTCTCACGTATCACAAGGCCTCCTCACTCCCTCCGGTCCCCATGCAAATGACACCTCCCCGGGGAGGGCTGCCCTGGCCTCACTACTTGAAATTATGCAATTGCCCACTCGTGTGCGCGCATGCTCACACACACGGTCACTCAGCACTGAACTGTGCTGCCTGATGGCGCCTGCTGGAACAAGCAAGCAGGTTCTGAAATCCGCCCTTGCTCCATGGCCAAGCCTTAGCTCGGTGTGGGCTGCATCCCTCAGAGGATGCTTTAACCAGGCACAGTGGGCAAGCTCTGTCCTCACACAAAGGAGGCACTGTGTTTTAATTTGTCTGTCTAGGAGCCAGACAGTGTGCCTCTATTAATTTGCACAAAGGGACCTCTTCCTACACTCTATCCACCTCTTTTTTATTTATCATCATCTTTCATGTTATACAGTTTATTTATCTTGTTTATAATCTATCTCCCACACCAAAATACTGGCTCTGTGAATTTCAGTCAATGCTATTTCCCGAGGGGAAGGAGGGAAGGAAGGAAAGAAGGAAGGAAAGAAGGAAGAAAGGAGGGAGGAAGGAAGGTGGGAGGGAGGGATGGAAGGAGGGAGACAAATTAGAGGCAGAGAAATCCATTTGCAGTCTATTTTAATAATTAATAAGAGAATAATGGGAACTAAGGTGGAGGCAGTTAAGTCAGAAAGGGCTGCAGTTGTTCTGAATAGAATGTTCATTTCTTTTCGCCCTCTCCAGCCAATTCTATCAACCAACAGATCCCTGGAAACACCTTGCTTTCCTTATTTCAAGTACTGCAACCCCAAATTCCTATACTCCAGAGCTGGAAGCGGCTTCTCGGTGAAGTTCATGCCCGTCATTTCTGCCTCCTGGTTCTGGGTTGGCTTTTTCATATGAAAAGCCATTTCTGACATCCCTCCCTCCATTTCTTTCATGTGAATTTCCATTTAAGTCTGGCGGATTTTCTAATAGGTTGAATTTCTTATTGAGTCCTTTGCCTCAGGGCCATACCCACGGTACTGGCTCCGGGGTCCAGGAACAGAGAGGCTCCTTTCGCAGCCTGCATTCCGGAGCTACTGAGGAACATGCCCCCTGGCCAGGGCTGCCCTCCAGTCCTGTGTGGCCGCAGTCTGTGACCTCCCCAGGGAAAGGAAGGGAACTCCTGGCGGGAACATCCTTCCGGGTTCTGCTCCCCGCCCAGTGGAAACACTTGCAATCTGAGCGCGGTGGTTGATGTGATAAAGTTCACAGATGAAAAGCTAATCAGAATTTGTCTTTTAAATGAAAGCCCCTTTCTGAAATGAGGCACAGCAGGTGGGAAGAAGCCACTCTTCTTTCCTGAGCCGTCACACATCTGAGATCAGAAGCACGGTTTTGTGGTTTTTTGTTTTTCTTTTTAGTTTTATTTATTTATTTTGAGAGAGGGTGAGAGCAGAAGCGGAGGCGGAATAAGAAAGGGAGAAAGAGAATCTGAAGCAGGCTCCATGCTGTCAGCGCAGAGCCCCACTCAGGCCTCGAACCCACAAACCGCGAGATCATGACGTGAGCTGAAACCAAGAATCTGACGCTCAACTGACTGAGCCACGCAGACGCCCCCGGTTTTGTGTTTTTTTGTTTTTGTTTTTTGTTTTTAATTCAGGTTTAGTTAACAGACCGTGAAGTCAGTTTTGTGTCCTGAGCAGCCACAGGAGCGAGGGTCACTGCCATCTCTGCCTGAAAATCCAAATGTCAGAAAGGAAATCATTGTCCATGAGAGCTAAACACAGCCCCACCCTCTTCCACGTATTTGAATATGATGTGGGAAACAGGCAGAAGGAAATGGTGGACAGAATGAAATTTCCTTAGAAGCTGCAGCCCTTTGACAAATACTTGAGGCAGGCAGAGGAAAATGTTTGTCCGGTTACTCCTTACTGTCTTAATGCGAAGGATTTGCTAGCTTGGCAATAGCTGGGCCTCCAGGATCCTGTGAGTATTCTTTAGCATATGAAAGTCTCATTGGAAACTTCCCCTTGACCTTCCTTCCCCAACTCCCAAGTATATAACCAGTGTCTCTTTATGGTTCCGGGTTCTGCCCACGGGTTCTGTCCCCGTGCTTTAATAAAATCACCTTTTTGCACCAAAGATGTCTTCAAGAATCCTTTCTTGGAGAAAGACCCACAAACCCCCTTTCACCCCAAAACCTCATCAGAATATATAAATATTTTTATATTAAAAAAAAAATATATATATATGCATATATTTTTTTCAAATTTGTCATCTTACTCCCTGGTATAAATTTTTAACATAAAGGATCCAACTTGATGGCTGTGAATGTCTCTTCTTTTTCAAGGTGGGATGTGGTCACCTGGGTTGGAGGACTCCGTGGGTAAATTTCTTAATTCAAAACCGGGGGTGAAGGCAGCTGTCCGGGCAAACCCAGATTAATATATTAAAAAGAAATAAACCGGCAGGAAAGCCGGCAAGAGCATAATAAAAAAAAAAAAGGCCAGCCAGATGTCGGAGGCCAGATACTTCCCTGGCATGCTTTTGGCTGCCGTGATCTTACTTGCCTCTTCCTTCCATCAGCCAACTGTCCATGCAGCACAACCAATAGTGCCCCACCCCCACCAGGACTCCTCCCTCCCGCCCCCTGCCCCATGCAGCCAATAGAACATTTCCAAGTACCCAGCAGCTAGCCAGGCATAAAAGGAGGCCAGCACCAGGGCTCCGGGCTCAGCCTTCTTCCTGGGCGCTGAGTATTTGCTGTAACAAAAACTGAAACGTGTGGTGTCTAAATGGGGTGTCTTTCGACGGGATGGGGGCTTCCGAATGTGGGGTGATGATAGGGTGGAAGGCGGTGGCGGTGGCGTGGGAGGTGAAAGAATTCACCCGAGGCGGAATGAAGGCCATAGAAGTGTATTGAAAATAAGGCAAGGGGGCGGAGGGGCGTGACAGCAGAGAAGAGGCTGTCTGGCCGGAGGTAGTGGGGAGGGGGCTGGTTTTAAAGGGGGAAGATGAGGAGGCGTGATGAAGTATGGGATTCTCCCCTTTTTTATAACCGTATTTGTAAATATCCCCTTGGTCAGTTAGGGCCTATGGATATTTTGGGGTGGGTCACCTGATGGGCCTGTGTTCAGCCAGGTGGTCATGTGGCCCTGTCTCCATTCAAGCCTGTCTGCCTAAAAGTAGCCTCGGTGCCCTGCGTTTGCTGTGTCACCGGTGGAGAGCTAGATCAGGATGATTTCCTAAGCTTTCCTGGTACCCCAGGAGAATTTGGTCTGGTTTTTTAAATCTCAGCCTTCAAATTCCTGGCCAGCTTCCAGAAAGGTTGCATCGTAGAACTTGCCTTTTTCTCTCCTCCTTATGAGCATACACCACAGGATTTTCATGAGTTAAGGAAATGGCCCTTAATGAGTCTTCATTCAAAGGAGACAGTACCTGAACTCAGCTGAAGCCCTTTCGTGGGGCTCCAGCCACATTGGGGGAGGAGTGTTTCTCCGTAGTCTGGTGCGTGGCTCTTCAGGCTGAAACGCTTGTCGTCTGATACAGATTAAATACGGGACTAATTGGCACTCCTAAACTAACTCAGTTTTGGATGAGTTTGCTTCTGATTTTTTTTTTTTTTTAAGCATCTCAAAAGCCTCTTCTATAAATGATTCTCGAGAACCCTCACAGAGAGAAATTAGTCTCTTAACTATAATAGGGGTGGGCTCCAGTCCAGGTTTATAACCATTCTGTGTCTTTTAGAACGTTTCAGTGTCTCCCAATATTGAAAACTAAAGTCTAAGTTCAGTTTAATTTCATCTAATTCCTTTTCAGCGCAGCATCCTGGAAACAACCAAGAAAAAGACAATAAAGGAGGAAATCAATTCCTTTGCCTATGTCAAAACAACAGACTTAAAAATAATTTTAGACACGTGCAAATGGGATAATTAAAATATTTCTCAAAATCCATGTGAAAATTCTAACACATTATCAGCTTGAAATTTTATAACTTGCTCAGAGGGGATAAACTTCCTCTTCCTTTTCCTTCCTTCCTTCCTTCCTTCCTTTTCATTTATTTTCTTTCTTTCTTTCTTTCTTTCTTTCTTTCTTTCTACAAAAACAATAATAATTATTATAGGGTCTCAAATGTACACCAAACACTAGGCTGGACTTTTTAGAGGCACTAACTTAATTAGTCTTCATAAAGCCCTTTCAAAGTAGATGTTGTTCTACCCATTTTACAGACGTGGAAACTGAGCCTCAGACATGGTAGCTCATTGGGTCAATAGATGGTAAGTAGACTTGAAACTGGGGCTGCCCACCTCCAAAGTGCATTCCCTTCCTGTTAGCCCAGCTGTCTCTTTAACCAAATCTAACAGCAGTGGCAACAAGAATAATAACTCAAGATCAAATATTTGGAAGCACAACTGTCTACATATGTCTTATACACTTAAGCTCTTTATCCACAGGTTTTTGAGTGTATGCATCAGCACTATCTGGAAGTTTTCTGTGATGATGTACCTTGGTGCTACCCAGTCATACAGTCAAGGGCCACATGTGACTCTTGAGCCCTGGAAAATTAGCTTGTGTGACTGAGAATCTCAATTCTTAATTTTATTTAATTTGAATTAATTTTAATTTCAATCTGTTAAAAAAGAACCCACAAGCTCAACCTGGTATCGTTTAGGCCAAGTCACCAAAATTAATACCTAATGTCATTACAGTATGTCTTAATTGGTCGGTCAGTCAGGAAATTTCTGCTCTGGTCTTTACAATGAGGTAATAGGTCTCCTGGGCCTTTTCCACCCCTCCCACCCCCAAAGGGAAGATAAGGTAATCTGTAGGATAAGATCCCCTGCTCTTTCCTTTAAGGGCATGTGACCTAGCCTGAAATAATCCTTTTCTTTTCCTAGGAACTTCCTTAGCCCACCTCCATTTTGTAAGCCTTCTATTTTGTAAGACTCCTCCTCTGAGCTCCCCTCTACTAGCTAGATGGAATGCTGTCCATTCATGGATCACTTAATAAAGCCAAATAGATCTTCAAATTTCAGTTGAATTTTTCTTCTTTATTTATTTTTCTCTTAATTTTTTTCCTGATGTTTATTTTTGAGAAAGAGAGAGACAGAGTGTAAGCGGGGGAGGGGCAGAGAGAGAGGGAGACACAGAATCTGAAGCAGGCTCCAGGCTCCTTGTTGGCTCAGGGCAGCCCCTACTGCTCAAGGGGTAGTTTTGATTCCCATCAGGGCTTGCTTGCCTGCTGGGTCTTTCTCCTGAGTCTTAACTCAGGAGAAGATGGAAATTAGAATTCAGCCTATGAGAAAATTAGAGGTCAAAATGGCAGTGGTTGAAATCCTCCTTCAAGGCTACCATACCAGGCAGCACACGTTTCTTACGTATTTGTAATTGCAATGCTTACAGACATGTAGTAAAGGAGAAAATTTTAATGTGAACATAATATCAATGTTGATTTTTTTCCTTATTAACATTAAGGAAGTTTCTGGAAAATAAGAAACAGGTGGCTTGCCTGTGGTCATGTATACTGTGGACTGAGAGTTGCTTTTCTTCTTGAGTTCCTATATGTCGTTGCCACCCAGATGGATGTGGGACACCATTTTAATTCTCCTGTCTACATTGATCTCTCCATTCTACAATTCCCATGTCTACAAGGGCACATCTTACCGGACACATAGGGAAACATTTATTGGGGCAAATTTAAATATGGCAAAGGAAAGTTTTTTTTTCTGTTTCCAATTTTGCTTTTTACACACACACACACACATATGTATGCATACATGCATATATATATGGACTGCTCTCGTGAAAGAACATTCTTCCATTCTGAACATACAATCCAGATTGTGGCCAATTATACCTTAGTTCTTCTTAAAACAAAACCTCTCAGAGATAATGGCTTCTGTGGTGCTGTTTATTCTGCACCATATAATAGTATATAGAAGTTTGACCTCCAAAATGTTACCAGAGAAACTCTGACCCACATTCACTCAGGCACATTATGGCTCCCCTCTATAGGGGAGGTGATTTCTGCCCCAGTTGCAGTTGGGGAGACCCAGATTGAGGTAGAAGCCTGAGTTCTGTTCTGAGGAAGGCAAGGAGAGGACAGAGATGTAAAAGCAAAAGGCCACAGTGCAGCTCTCATTGATGTCTTCTATGTAGAAGAGGGATTGAAACTAGGTTAACTGGGATTGGTTGGGTTATTATGCAAATGAAGGGTCAAAACTTGCCAAATCACCTTGGCTCCTTTGGAAGTGCAGAATGCCAGTCATTCAGGTGTCTGCATCAGGAGGGAGTTCAGTCCAGGCTGAGGGCTCACAGCTGGCAAAAATCATGGTTCCTCCAATAAGGATGTGCATGAGTTCCACCTCCCTTATGGCCTCCCATCCCTATTTCAAAGAGATTCTCTTAGCTAGGCCTGTGGGCTCCATTTTGAAATCTCCTTTCATACCTGCTAATAATGTCTCATAGCTGTTCCTTCCAAAGAATGGCCCTTGGACCAATGGGAACCCCCAGCCTAGGAGGTTGATTATGCCCTCATCCAATGACTTCACCCCCATCTGTTGGTGATGATAGATTGACGGAGGAGCAGGGCACAGAAGGCCAACCCTTTGCTCAATGTGGGACCAATTTCATGGTACAGTTCCTGCTCCAGACCTCCCTATGGGATCAGGCTGGGGATAGAGCACAGCCACCACAAACCACAGGCATCTGAATCCCTGTCTCAGTTCGGCCACTAAGGAACTTCGCCTAAGACACCATCTCAAGGGCCTGAATTATTTGAAAACCAGGAAGTTATACGCCAACATCTAGACTAACATGCGCCTCCTCAGAAAAGTCTAGGAGGCATTTTCACTAGTGAGCTTTGAGAGACAATAAACCTTTTTTTTTTTTTTCTTTTCTGAGCATAACTTCTATCCAAGATATTCCAAGGCAAAAAGAGTTATGCCATATCGCCACAGCCTAGATTTGGAACGCAAACTGAACTACAAAATAGAGGCTGTCACCTCTGCCAAGTTCATCAGTCCAAATGGCAATGGCTACAATGCGATTTAGAAAGGTAGATTTTTCAGAAGGTGATTATTTCAGATTTCAATGGAGTAGACAAAGAGAAAGAGCATAAGGAAGTGAAAAGATAAGGTGATTTCAACACAGAAGGTGATGATAACCATGTCTGATTTCTTAAGCATGCATATGAACATACAAATAAGAGATGATAGATTAGTCACAAGAAAAGTACCGTGTATTCTGCATCATGTCCTTTATTGGCCCTAGTCCTGCTGAATGGTAAACAAGAACAACAAAAGCTCTCATTTAGAATATACAATGACTTGGTAGAAAACAAAGCCTTCATTCGTAATGGAAATAAAACCAGGATACTCTTATTTGCTGTTTAGTTTTATTCTACCCCTCTAGGCAAATTTAGAAGGAAGCCAAATAAAATCAAAATTCTTCATTGTGATTGTGAAGCAGCAGGGAATTTGGATGACTTGAAATGCTGAAGTCAGTGATCTGGGACTGCCTGACTCAGCCCTCTCCCCCCTGGGGCAAGACACCCGCAGAGGGACCACCTGTGTTCCTGGACCTGGCTGTTTTCTCTGAGCTCCCGTCTTTCTGACTACCATATTTTGTGTGTGTGTGTGTGTGTTTTTTCTATAACCATATTTTGGTCCTGTTCAACTTTTTATTCCCTCAAAGATATATGATCATTGTAAGACCTTCAGACAAAGCAAAGTTCCCTACCACTTAGGTAGCATCTCTGAACAAGGGGGGCAGAGAATTTACTTGCCTTGCAGTGAGGATAACGCGTGCGTATGGAATCGAGGACACTGCCCACAACGTTAAGAGAGGCTTCTCTTCCTCCTGCTCTTAAATATTTTTTTTTACATCAGTGTTCAGCAAACCTTTTCTTTAAATAGAGAGTAAGTAAATAGGCTTTGTGGGTCACATGGTCTCTACCACAACTACTCAATCTTGCTGTTGTAGTGCTAAAAGGGCTATCAACGCCAAGTAGATGGATGGGTGTGGCTGTGTTCTAATAACACTTTATTCACAAAAACAAACCCCGTTTGTTGGGGCCTTAGTTTGCCCAACTGTTTTCTTCTTCCTCATCTGAAATGACTCCAGAGTAAAGCATGAATTTTATTATTAAGATAAAGCTAACTTATTATTAAGAAAAAAATTTTTTAAACTTTTAGTTGAAGTATAGTTGAGACACAATGTTACTATTAAGTATCATGAAAATTTTGTTTTCTAGTTAAACCATTTAAAAATGGTTCTCTCCTTGGGGTGCCTGGGTGGCTCAGTCGGTTGAGCGTCCGACTTCGGCTCAGGTCATGATCTCACGGTCTGTGAGTTCGAGCCCTGAGTCGGGCTCTGTGCTGACAGCTTGGAGTCTGGAACCTGGAACCTGGAGCCTGCTCGGGATTTTCTCTTTCCCTCTCTCTCTGCCCCTCCCCTGCTCGTGCTCTGTCTCGCTCTCAAAAATAAATAAACATTAAAAAATATGTAAAAAAATAAAAATGCTTCTCTCCTTAGCTTCTGAAATACATATTTTGTCCAGTACCTGGATCAATTTATAAATAATTGCTTGGTATCGCTTCTGGAAGGGCAAGATGCATGAGAAAGGGGGCATGTTTTCTGCCTGCCAATATTAACATCACATTTAGTGAAGCAGAACATGCCCAGTGACCCTGCCATCCCTGTTCTCAGTACATGCTCTACACGTGTTCACTAGAATGCTTGTGCGGGAACCTTTCTTCACGGCAGAGCTCAGTCATATCCCCAAACTGAAAGCAATCCAAACATCTACAGCATAGAAAGGAGAAACGTATCTTTGTATATATCCTACCACAAAATATTATACGGCAATGAGAATGAGCAAACCACAACAGCGCACAATGCGTGCATGGAGCTCACGAACGGTGCCGAGGGGACAAAAGAGAGCATATGCTTTGGTTCCATTTTCATGAAGTTCGACAACTAATCCATGATACTAACAGCAGAATAGTGATTTCATTTGAGAGAGCAGTGGTTAGTGACGGGGCAGGGCAGGAGGGATTCCTGGGGTGTTGGTAATACTGTATTTCTTAATCTCAGCACTGATTTCACAGATAAATTCACTGTTGGATGAGTATATTTAATTTTATCTTTAAATTACAGCAGCCATACTAACAAGCGACCTTTACTAAAAGGCAGCCATGTGCCAGGCGCTCTGTTCAGCACCTTATATACTTTGTCTCATTTAACCTTCACAAAGCTCGAAGGTGGTATCTCAGCCTCACTTAATAGTGAAAACAAGGCTCAGAGAGGTTAAGAAATGTGCTCTAAGTCACACAGCTAGTAGGTGGCCAAGTTATAGTCTACTGCCTTGATATATTACAGACAGATACCAGAACAATCCACAGCTGTATGAAATCAATCACTGGATCAGATATCCTAGGGGGAGAGTGGTGTGAGATTTCACGGTAGGTTTCAGGGTAGGATTCCCTGAGATGAGTAAGAACTGAACAGTTTGAACCACAGGTGGGAAGAGAAGGTTGAACACTTAAAGCTGGGACTTCGAAATATCTAGATGTGTCCCCTCTGCTTTGTGCTGCCACCAGGCAGACAGATGGACTACCTATAGGAGGTTTCTCCTGCTCAGCTCATTGGGTCCAAGTCAAAATCACAATAGCTCAAGCATGGCTCACAAGCAAAGGGCTGGTTTTCTTCTGGGAGTGACATATTGTTCCCGAATGAATCCGTGCACAGACACAGCCTCTGTTGGCCAGGGCCTTGACTGTCACATTTGAAATCAAAACAGACGGAAAAGGATCTCAGAGCCCTGCCTGTGAGTGATAAGTAGAGGGGAAACCAAGGACCTCGATTAACCAGCCTCCTCTAGGGCTATTGTGAATCTGTCCTCCCTCCCTGCTTCTCAGCTCCTGCTAACACTTATTGGAGAGTCACCATTAGCAAGCCAGGCGCTAGGCACCTGGTCTCAAGTGCCTATTTTTAAAAAGGATGGTCTCAATATAACCTGACTCACGTATAAGCTTATGAAATTATTCCGATGTCCCCAAACAGTGATAGGAGGATCTGTGCCCCCATAACGAATACTGAAAAAATTAAGAGCTTTCAAATAAAGCCCATTTCCAACACAGCCATGCGAGCGTTTGAAACATTTATCTGAGTCCCGGAAGGTATCAATAAACTTTTATATGAAGGAAACAATGTAGATACTAGAAGACACACACTATAACATTTTATGTTTTATTTAGCTGTAGTACATAAACTCCCCCAGGCCCCACAGAGGAACCCGGGTGGGCAATGGCTTCCGGCATTTAAAGGGATTCTCAGATTTTCATCTTAGCCATCCCAGAGCACAGCTTTCTCTCTCCATTGTAGTTACTTTTGGCTCCGGGGAATTTGTGATTGCTGCTTTCAAAATACTCTTTGCAAAATTCAGCGAAGTAAAAATTATACAAGAGCTAATTATTTCCGAGAGAAGTGAGTCAGCTATGTTCTCCATCATAACTGCGCATAGGAATCTGTTGCTTTAATTGTGTCTAAATACCTTCTCTTTTATGCCGGTTTTGTTTCCGTATGTATATGCTGGCAAAGAGATAGCTATTACGGTTGTAAATTGTGCCTGATACTGAGATTAATAGCTATAAAAATAGTGCTCGAGGGAGTTAGGGGTCTGGTTTAACCATCTCTGTAATGTTCCTACTCCAAGAGCAATATTTCATGGGTGTTGTAAAATTTATAAGCCTAGATTCATGAGGTCTGCATGGTTCCAAGCAGGCAAGATGGGAAGTTTATTTCCAGCATCCAGTGTCTAATAGGGGTACGCCAGGTGTCACAATAAACACACTACCAATGTTTGCAGAAGCTGAACTCAATGCTGGGTCTCGGAGCCCACACTCAAGGTGAAGAAAGGGCTCAGTTGAAAACCGCTCTTCCCTTTCAATAATCCCTCGGGAGGGCAGAGGGAGGGTGGGCGGGAGCAGAGGAAGAAGGGGTCACATCCGTGAAATTGCCACTTCATTAATCCCACCCCCGCGGGCTGGACAGGAAGAGGGGGAATGGGGTTTACTGCCTGTGACTGCCGCTGCAGGGATGAAAGCAGCCACCATCCCTCTGCTGGTGTGTTGGAGACACCAGCTCTAGCGAGTGTATCATTAAATTTTCAGGAATTTCATGAGCCTGTTGTTAAACACAGCCATTATTGCAAGTGGAATTACAGCGCAATAAAATGTATTTAAAACAAAGTTAATAAATGCTCAGAACTCTTCATTTCCTAATTTCACCATTACCTATGTCCTGCGGTTATGTTTTTGTCTCTTCTACCAATGGTAGGAGGCTGCACCTGTGCCTTCTGCATACCTCGGCTGTCCTCCAAAGTCAGCCACGTCCGGTTGGGAGCTTGGAGCTGTCCATG